AAATGGGGACAATAAGACAAGGGACGGTAGGCATGCTGGTGCGCTTATGCAGACCATAATTTCTTAGAAAAGGTGTGAGGTCCACGATAGACAGTTTAAGGTTAACGTTATGGGGTTTGAGGATGTAACAGATTGTGGAGTTTTTTTGAAGAAAACAGATTTGTTTTCCTGTTAGGAAAATAGACCCAGGATTGGGAAAATATAGGAGAGTTAAATATGGAAGGTGCTGTTTATAAACCATGAACTCTCCAAGGCAATTGCATTAGGAAAAAATTACTTGTATGCTATCTAAGCCATTTTTTTTCAGATGGGAAGATATAAGTTTACCACAAATTGCATGAAATTCCATTATATTGATTCCAAATCAATTTGTAGAATTCTTTTTGTCCCATCCTTTTGTATTCTGTCACCATATCACACGTGGCTGTTTCTTTAGGCAACTAATTTGACACCAGCAGATCCCAATGGCAAAGCAGATCCCTATCTTGTGGTTAAGATTGGCCAACAACAAAAAAACACCAAGGATCGATATATCCCAAAACAGCTCAATCCAGTTTTTGGAGAGTAAGAATATGTTTTTATCTTATATCTGTCACATCTTTTCTAAACTGATTCTTGTCTTACCAGAAGATTTTCTCTATTTCAGAATAATGCTCTTGTTAGTTATAGGCATAAAAATATAAGAATATGTCTTCATAGCATCAGCTAAGTTTATATGTGTGGATTCTTAAGGGCTGATAGTGGATCTTCCTGTGGGAATGGTGATGTAGAGCAGTGGTGAGATTCAAAAAAATTACTACTGGTTTCTTGGGCGTGGCTTGGTGGGCGTGGCAGGAGAAGGATACTGTACAATCTCAATTTCCTCCTGATCAGCCGGGACTCGAGAGGAAAAGAATAGATGGGGGCGGGGCCATTCAAAGGTGGTATTTACCGGTTCTCTGAACTACTCAAAATTTCCACCACTACTGGTTCTCCGAAATTGATCAGAACCTGCTGAATACCACCTCTGATGTAGATAAATATTCCAAGGAAGGATACTGACATGAGCAATGAAGGAAAATTTCAATTAGAAGGAAACAAACTTTCAGCACAGAAAGAGAGAATCCGAGGTTATATCTGCCTAATATGCTCATGAAAATAGGAGTAAAAGAAAGCAAATTGCTAATAAAAAGTAAAATAATTGCAAGGGTCTGATACTTATCTGGCTGTATAAAATAAAGAAGGAAGGTGGACCAGGGACTTTAAAAGGAAAGAATAGACTTTATCATTCTGCCAATGGATCCATCCAGCCGGCACTTCTTTTATTTCAGCATTTATGTTCATTAAATACAAGTTAAAGGAAATGCTGCTATAGCAAGCAATAAAATTATTATTGTACAGAAGCTATTTTGTTATGTTCTGTCTTTACTTGCTATCTCCCAATGTTATTGTTTTCTTTCTATCTCATATTTAGAGTACTGGAGCTTTCAATATCCTTTCCTATAGAATCAGAACTCACTATATCAATATTTGACCATGATTTAGTTGGATCTGATGATTTAATTGGGGAGACCAAAATTGACTTGGAGAACCGATTCTACAGCAATCACAGAGCCAATTGTGGAGTGGCCTCACAATATGACACGTATGTATTATAGGAGCACTCAAGGTGACAGAATCCCTTTCTCGTTTTACTAGTATTCTATAGCTTTGTCAATCGAGCTTAAGACCCAATGTATTCTGCCCTATAGGAATGCCAGCATTAATAAACCAGTTTCATATCTAATTTAAATGATAACATGCAACTTACCCATATGTAATCATTTGTTACAGAGAAGGCTACAATATATGGCGAGATGCTTTCAAACCCACGCATATCTTGGAAAGTTTATGCAAGAAGAACGCCCTCCCCTCAGCTGAATACAGGGCAGAGGAAGTCAAAGTAAATAACAAGATTTTTAAAATCCCCCCTGAAGCTTTTCCTGAAGGTAATGGTACTTACGTTTGCTATAATTTTTTTTAAATTTCAACAGCAGTGGTGGGATTCAAATAATTTAACAACTGGTTCTCTGCCCTAATGACTGGGTGGGTAGGCGGAGCTCAGTGGTCATGTGACTGGGTGGGCATGGACAACTCAACGTCACTCACATTGATGGCTGCTTCGCCTTAGCTGTTATATTGTAATAAGGGTTAACCAGAGAGGCAGTTTTTGTAAGCAGGGCAATAAAAATTAGGTTAGAAACAACACCAGAATGTTTCCTTCCTGCCTTCTTTACAGGATTATCCCTGTAAAGTGGAAAAAAACAAAATGAGATTTCTTCCAACAACCGGTTCTCCGAACTACTTAGAAAGTTAACAATTGGTTCTCCTGAATAGGTGCGAACTGGCTGAATCCCACCAGAGTGCTGTATACTTATTTCTAAAGCTGAACATTCATTTCCATGTAGTCCTAATNAGCTCCATTTTTTCTGGCAGAGGCACTGCGGGATGGGCCTTTGCTGTTTCCAGATCTGAGTTTGACACCCCTGCTATAAAGGTACTGCCTGCCTTCCACAGTTTCTACCAATCTGATATGAACTGGCAGAGTAGGCATTTTTCAGGTCACCCTTGATTAAATGTGCCATATTTCAGGACCCAGGAAATGTGTGTTCTCTGGCCTCTGAAATGAGGTTCCTCTTGAGGTCTGTATGGTTCCTAGGTGGATGATGTCGTTCTTGAAAACTGGCTATTTATCCTGGCCTTGGGGTAGGATAGATGTTTGTATTGGCATTGTTGTTTGGATTGCTATATTGTAATAATTTTGCACTTTTATATTTGTTCAGGTTAATACTTTGTTTTTTTTATTGCTTATGTTATTCCACTGTGAACTGTTGAAACTGGGTTGGAGTCAAGTGACATCCCTATTGAATAAATAAATATTAATTCATTAAAAGTCAGATATATTCTGCTAGGAGAAGCGAATAGCTTCTCAGCAATAGGGTTTTTCAAAATATAAATTATTAGAAAAAAAACCCTTACATAAACAGCACGTTCTTCTCAACTCCCTCTGCTACAGGGTTCATTCTATGTTTATCGATCTGAAGAGGCAGGTCCAGAACATAAGATCTCCCAAGGCATCCCCAGAAATAGACCCATCAAGGTTCTTGTCAGAATTTATATTGTCAAAGTAAGTATTTTGACTTCATATACAGAAATACAGATTTAGGACTTCAGATACACTGCAGACAGGTTGATTTCCAAAGCACAATCTCTGTTACTGAAATAACAGAGATTCTGTCATTATTTCAGCCTTGGTCATTACTTATTTATTGTGCTCTTATTGAATTGAAAAGTAAAATATTATTACAGAACATTCTTCTGACTTTCTAAGGTTGGGTATTTTCAAATGAAGAATTCCTAATTATGTTCTTGCCCCTACCTTGCAGATTTATTTGTTTTGTTTTGTTTGTCAACCATGTAGATAACAGGTATAAGTATAAATATGGACATGAACACAGGAAATGGGTACGAATAAATGGGGACAATAAGACAAGGGACGGTAGGCATGCTGGTGCGCTTATGCAGACCATAATTTCTTAGAAAAGGGGTGAGGTCCACGATAGACAGTTTAAGGTTTAACGTTATGGGGGTTTGAGGATGTAACAGATTGTGGTGTTTTTTTTTTTTTTTTTTGAAGAAAACAGATTTGTTTTCCTGTTA